TGCTTCAATATTGGATATACAATTAATTATTGATATGTTAGAATCTATTTTTAAATTTAAAAGAAATTTTTAGATTGTTTCAATGTTTTACGAAAAAACTTTAATTCTTGTTTAATAATATTTAAACTTGAAAAACTCATGATTATAATTTTTAAAATGATAATTTAGCTTTTCTTTCAATGGTAACTAAAAATCATAGATTTTAATAGGATGGTGGGGTTTGTTATTTATGATATTTATAATGGTGGTTATGATGCCAATGTTTTCATAAGGAGAATTAAAAACTTTTTTACGAAATATGTTTGTAGGTACATAGTAATAATTGTTTTAAACATTGAATTTATGATGATAACTCATAACGATAAATATTTATAATAATATTTATGATGATGCATGATGAACATATATTCATATGAATGAAAGATTTATCATTCATAATCATAATAAGAACGATACTTAGCTCTGATACCAAAATTAACGAAATGACGGAATTAATAAAAAATTAGGATAGAATTATACCTGAATGATGCGTCGAGATGGATTGACGATGGATTGTTTAAATTATATGAATAATGGTGGATATGTTTGGATAGGGCTCTGCTATTCAGAAATAGAACGACTATTTCAACAGAGGAATAACTTTGACATCAACTCAAGTCTTAGGCACTCAAACTTAACTTGTTTATTTCATATGGGCAAATGCCTTATTTATAGGCTCAAGAGAGCCGGTTACATAATTGAGTTGCAATCGTTTGATTGCAATACGACATATATATTTACAATATAGCCCCCTAGACTATTGAGGGTCTTATACTTTACACTACTTTATATTACATTGACAATAATAATTATAAAAGACAAATGACAAATAATTACAATTTCTTCCACAATGAAAAGACGCGTGTCTTTAATAATGTTTTTAATATGTCATTGCTTTCGTCACCTCCACGTCAGCTGTCACGCGTGAAAACCCCATCCATACCCTTTGGCCTAAAAGTTATAGTTGTTAATGTAAGTGCCATAACTTTAAACATACCTATTTATTTAAATGTGAAATACATATGATGATTGAAGTTCGTTTAAATTTGTTTGTTTTTGAGGCTACATGGGAAGGTTTCAACCTGCAATTCATATTTAACGGTGTAGAAAGATGGAGATAAAAAAGAAGAATGTGATATTATTTGTTTTGGGATGAGTCTCGCGCTAAAAAAAATATGTTAATGACAAATTATCTGAAATCCTACATATCTTAATTTAAATTATAGGAAAAACCCACATAATATTAAATATTTTCGTAAACAATAAAAACAAATTTAAATTATTTTGCAATTTTTTTAAAAATTAAAAAATTACTAGATATTTATTGATTATAAAAACACCGACTAATAACAAAAACGACCAAAATGTAAAGCTTGTATCAACAAATGACCTTAGTTTTAAAACTTATCATAAAACTATTTATTTTGGCAAAAAAGCATGCTAGTTCCTTGTAATCACTTTTTCCGACTTCATATATCATGAACAAGGTTATAAGGCGTGAAAATCACGGTCGGTATGTTTAAATTATTATATAGACAAAAAATGTCGAAAAAATAGAGCGTATTGTCGAATGTAATTAGTAATCATGAATTAATTTGTTAAGTAAAAATAAAATTAATACTTTAATATAGATTTTGAATTTTTTTTGTTTACAACATTGAAAGTTTTATTGGTATACATTAAATTCTGGGAGATTTAATACGATTTTTAAAATATAGATACCATATATTTCAAAATTGTTATTAGGATATGATTTTTTATTTCAAAATTTGAATTGAAATTGGTTTGTTACAAAAAAAATGATAGAAATCATAGAAAAGTGTCACATGTCAAAGAGACATACTAGAAAAAGGACACGTGACATTTTTATGTTTCGTTTATTATGATAGGTATCAATGTTACTTTCCTCATTGGAGTCGAGTGTTTTATGTTTAAGTCTGTCTCTCAGACATAAATGAAATTAAAAACAATTTTAAAATAAAATAAATTTGCCATTTCAAAAAAAATATTACAAATAATAACCTTTTCATTAAAACGACATATTTTTTCTGCTAAAATCTAAAATGATATCATGTCGTGAAAATTGTATGGCATGAATATTTCTTAAAATTTAAGCAAAATGAGGTATAATAATATTGGTTACAATTTTGGTTTCTCAAGAGCATATATGGTGCAAGTATAAGTCCCTTTAAAAACTATGTGTTTAAAAAAATAATTTTAACTTGAAACCTATTGACTTCTCCTAAAGCCAAACATAGTTGAAAGAGAATTAATGTAGCAAAACCATAATTTTTGTATTCACCATTTTTTGAAGGAAAAAGCACCGCAACAATATGTTTCGTGAACTTTTTATGATCAAATATAAAAATTTCAGGATACATCAAGTCATGGACAGTAGAATCAGAGAGTATCCATGGCAAAAAGTAATCATTTTGTGATGTAAGTGGAATTTTAATGATTAGCTCCAAAAGCAATGAGAGGATTATTGATATATACATTCTATTTTTTCAAACATATGCATCAAGAAATCAAACATCAAATTACAAAAGAATTGAATAGTCCTTGCATGGTTTGATTTTATGGCAACCATTAAGCTTGGATAGAGGCCTTTCCCTTTTCCGTTTTGTTTTCCTATCCTTTTAATTCCTATTTTCTCTACTCTTAATTAGCTAGAATGATTTCAATTCCTTTTTTCATGATTGCGTTCCATTAATTCTTGGAACCAGAGGAGAACGAGAGGCATATCGATCCTTATTATTTATTCCTCAAGTACAAAATGTAGATTTATAAACGTTAAGAACAAGGTCCACAGCAAACAAAGCTTCACCAGATCACCGGCGATTGGGTTTATCCGGCCAAACATCCGAGAACAAGAGAAAATGGTAACCATATGGCCGAAGCTCACACCCAACCCCATTCGAGTGGGACCCACCTTGAAAAAGATGGAATCCCAGGCCAAGCCGAGTCCAAGCTGAGCCAAGTACATAAAAATAGCCGTTGGTGTGCGATGAAATCCACTGTCGGCCCACACCAGCCAAGCCGATAACCCCATGACGAAAGCCGACGAGACACAGGTTAGGTGTAGGGCCCACAAGGGTGGGATCCAGAATGGCCTGTCGAGGTCCTGGTAGTGGAAGGTGTCGGTCTCTCCGAACATCATGATATTGGATACGGTTAGAGCCACCGGGATCGCAATAGCTATGCCTAGTGACCGGACGCCGCGACTTGCCGTCGACGGTTTCTTTTGAGATCTCGTTCTGGCGAAATTGATTGTCATGTTGGTTTTTATGATTCCTTCTTCTTCTTTTTTCTGTGTTACAAGGAGAGATAAAAAGTAATTTTCTTTTTTTCTGTGTTACAAGGAGAGATAAAAAGTAATTTCTGATATGGTTAAAACTTGCAAGGGAAAGAGGAGATGGGATATGATGGTGAAGAGAATTTTCAGGACATGTGTTTTGTTTATATTTTATATAGAGAGCTTCTTCGGGGAACTTCTTAATCAAGATGAAGAAGGACAAACACGCGGCAAAGAGACACGAATGGAAGCTAAACACGTGGCAACCAAGATTTGGTCAATATGTTGGCCTTCCAACATCTTCAATGCAATTTTTTTTTTCTAAAGAATAGATCATTTAAAAAAAAATTATCATGTGCTTTTTAAGCAAAAGCTTAGCAAATAAAAATAACTAGAGCTGGCAAAAATCGATCCAACCCGCCAACCCAACTCGAACACAACCCAAAATTAGCGGGTTGGGTTGAGATTTTCAACCCATTTCACTTAAATAGGTCAACCCGTCTAACCCATTTAAATAAACAGGTTGGGTTGGGTAAAAAATTATCAACCCGTTTTCAACCCGTCAACCCATTTAACTTTAATATATATATTTAATTTAATAATTATTTGAATATTATCATGTATTAATCAAAGTATTAATTTGTAAATTATAACGTTGCATTATTATTATCTATGTTTAATAAAATTCAATCATAATTTCCATCATTTTTTAGCGCTAATAATACTGGTTACTCTCCAAAATCACTGTAAAACTAAATATTTTTAATGTTATTTGAACAATTTATTTGTATTTATGAATTAGGATTGTGCTTTTGTCATAATTATGAACTTTTATTTACATTTTATAATTTAAGTGGTATAATATTTAATTATATAATTTATTTAATTGATTTTAAATGGGTTAACCCACGTTTAACTCATTTATTTAATAGGTTGGGTTGGAAACTATATAAATAGGTCAACCCGGTGACAATCCATTTATCTAAAAGGTTGGGTTGGGTTGAAAATATCAACCCATTTAAATAAACAGGTTGGGTTGGGTTGAAATTTTCAACCTAATTATTAAATGGGTTGAACCCGAACCCAACTCAGGTCGACCCATTGCCACCTCTAAAAATAACTTTATGCAAATTTATATTTAAAAGCTTTTTTAAAGTTTTTTTTTTTAATTAATATGTTGTTGGAAAATCTAGTTGACAATTACAATAATTTTTTTATAAAAACTTATGTATTGGAGATGATTTTAATGAAATAGTGAGAAATAGTCGACTAAAAAAACTAAACAAAAACTTACATGAGATATCCTTAAGCTATATATATATATATATGAAAAACCTATTAAGTCTAAATGTCTAATCAAAATTTCCTTGTATTTAATATTTTTTTTTTCTGTACACAAAAAGATAAACTATTTCTAATGATTTGAATGATGAATAATAATGAATGAAATTGTGAGCAAATGAAGATAAGAGGAAGTCAGCGATGTATGAAGCGGTGATATAGCTGTACAGCAGCTGAATAGGCGACATGGCAGTGAAGATGTTGTGGTGACCGGTGGTTTGCTCCTGGTGGCAGAAATCGAGAGAATAGTGGGGATAGAGGCGCCGAGAGTCGCCGGTGAACGCATGCGACGTGACTGGCAAGGATGACCTTTGATAAATCGATTTCTAGTGAGAAGTAGAGATCGATCCTGGCTCCCAGATTCCAAATCGTGAAAGTGTTAGTGTTGAATCGGAATCAAATATCAGACCGATCGACTATGGAGGAGTGAGGCGGTGGTTTGGAGGAGTGTGGGGAGAAATCAGTTCAGATGGAAATTAGATGGAAATTAGAGCAGAAGAAGCAGTCGGTAGGTGGAGCCGCGAGGGAAGATGGAGTGAGCTGTAGAAGGATCGGGAAGTGAAAAGCTTTTAACCTATTGGTAACTCGATGAACAGTGTCCCTGGTGAGGTACCGTTCATAAGGGGGTTTCTAATTTCAT